TAAAAATTGAATATGTCATCTTATTAAATTTCATCTTTCTTTCAATTTAACATTAGTATTTTTTTTTCTAATTATATCAAATAGGTAGAAAAGAATATAATTTTTAAGAATATTTTTTATCTGGCTGAACCTGATAATCTAAAAGCAAACAAAAAGGCAGTTTACCTTTTATATATACAGAAATATACTTTACCTGTTGCACTTACGAACTCTCAGTACTTTGTATCTAACAAGGCAAAGTTATATCAAAGCCATCTTAAAGATTGTTTAAATTTTAAGAAAAAATATAATATAGATAAGATTTTAGAGATTCTTGCGAGATCAGTACAGTCAAGGAATATACCAAATTTGAATAATATAGATTGCTTCTTTTATAGTAATCAAATGTTGATCAGAATATTCTAGATGTTCTATATATATTATTTAAAATACAATAAATAAAATATTGAATTTGAAATAAGTTTTATACAGTCAACTCTCTCAAAGTGCACATACTCTAAGTGTATGTTCTATATAAATGCATGCCTTCTCTTGATCCCAACTAATATTGACACTTATAGATTTTTAGTTCTCTAAATGCAATATCCCTCTAAGTACACGTTTGGCAAAATTTTTGTATATAGTCCCACCACATTGCACTTAGAGAGAGTTGACTGTAAAAGGTTATATTAATAAAATTATCAATTAAAATAAAACTCATAGCATTCACTTCTCAGACATTATGTTAACAAAATTCATTTAAATTCTGTTATTTTTATTTAAAAAGAAAAGTAGACCAAACAATTACAATCCCACAATCAAAGAATTAAGCAGTTATGAACTACACGCATATTAACATAGCATATATTATCCAAGTTTCTCATTCAAATATATTGAATTAAATTTATAAGTTAATATTACTCTACAGCATAAACTAAAATACTCTGGGCACTTTATAGTCAGAGAGATATTATAAGTTGCACTGAGTCCTGCAGTAATATTTTATGTTGTGGAGGATCATGAAATTGGATTATAGTGAAATTTAGGGGTCTCGATTTGAAAATATATGCTCTACAAAAGTACAGAAATACGTCTATACTCTTTTACTAATAAATCTAACTCTAAATCCTAACTTAACAATAAAAAAAAAGCTGAATAAATGGCTCCAAAATTTTTTAAAAATCATATGTACATAAAATAGATTAAGATTTCACTATCATCCGATTTCATGATCATCTGTAACAATGTTTAATGTCAATATTGGGCTTAGGATCGAGAATAGAATTTAAGCTACACATATACAATATATACTATATTAAATCTTGTTTGTTAGTTTTAATTACATAATATTAACTTTGATATAAATAATACTGACTATATAGAATTCATGTAGTAAGTATAAAGCAAATTCTATAACTGGATTAACAAATAAGTTATTAATTTAGATATTTGAAACTATACTTTATATACTAGGTTTGTGACAAGTAACTAGACAGTAACCTTTTTTACTATCTTTGCTAATATCAAATTTCTATAATTATTTATTATATCTACATAATACTGGTATAAAAATTAATAGTATATTAGTGATTAAAAAAAGATTACTGGCCAGTTACTTTTCATCAGCCCGGCATAATTCAATATAATTTATTTCGTTAGAATTGCCTATTTTCATGTCTCATATTTATCATTAGCTCCAATTTTATTTTTGTAGCAATGACTAAAACCGAAGTTTTCATCAAAATAAACTATCTCAGCAAATTTTTGATAATAATTGAATGCTTATTCTGACAAAAATCCAAAACTTTCCCATTTGTAAATAATAATAAATCCCAGAATTCAAGCCAGAATGTTACAATTTAGTAATACTATATTAAACATAATCATCTATAGTATAGCATCTGAAACTTAAAAAAACCTAAATATAAAAATGCGAAGATTAAAGTAACAAAGTATTATTAGTATAATAAACCCAAATTGCTTACAAACAAACAAATAGTACTCTGCAAAATCAAATCAAAATTTGAATTTGAATCAAATATTTGATCAAATTTAAATTTTGATTTAATTTTGCAGAGTACTACAAGCAAATATACAAAAAAGGTAGAGAATACTTAGCTCTATGAAAATAATCCAATTCCTGACTATAATAATATCAATTGCACCATATATACAGTTGTACTCCTATATAATCAAGTCATTAGTACTATAAAAAGTAACAATGTGTATAGAAGATGCTTATATAGAGAATAATTTTTATATATTTAATAGCAGCCAATATCATTATATGTACTAACCAAATCTGAGAAAATACAAATAAGTTCTTTTGCTAGTTGTCTTTGGGATGTTGACACTATAAAAAAATGTTTAAATATATAAACCATTTAGTAAAATTAAGTTGTAACACTTTAGTTTAAGTAAAACAAATTCTCAAATTTCAGTTCTCATTTACTTTTTTGACATGAGCTGATCTGCATAGATTAGTGTAGATTAACTAAACTAGAAGTCTTCTAATATTGAATTATGCATTTTCCTGTGAGTTTCTAATAATGAATTGAAGATACAAAAAATTCTCAAAAATGCTGACAAAAGGGTGTATAATAGTCAATCAAATTCGAGAATCGATACATTGATCATTCTAGAATCTGATTTCCTAATTTAGTATATTCTTTGACTGCAGTATCTGAAGATACTAAAACAAAAAGCAATAGTAATAAAGGTAATTAATTATATAATATATTTTAATAGTTTGCTTATTTATTATATTAGTAACATGTTTAGTAAATTATTAGCAGCCAATTTCAATGCTGATATTGCATCTGAGGATGAAATTTCTAGCACAATTTCCACAAATTCTGAAACTTTAAAAACTAATTTGTTTAAAAGGCAAACAATATTTACTATCTATGTTTTACGTCCACTATTTGAAAAGGATAAACCACATTTTAAAAACTTGGTATTACGTATAATTATATCAAATAGTCTTTCTTTTACTTTCATAGAAAATAACAAGATACAAGAGGTTTTTAACTTTATTGCACTAGCTTTAAAGTTATCTAATCGACAGGCAGTAAGTAATCGAATTCTTCCAAGATATTTAGAAAAGTTAGTTGAGGATATTTTACAATATATATGTGCAAATAAAATTAGAGTAATAGCAGCATTTGACGGATAGACCAATATTAAGCAGAAGCATCTTTTTGGTATAGTTTTGATTACTTTTCAAGATGAAGCTTTGGTTTAGAATATACATAATATTAGTGACTAATGATCAAGAAATGAAGATGTAAAATACCTCATTAAAGACATAATAGATAATACAGAAAAACAAACATAAAAATTAACTATTATATATCAGATTCTGCTAGTGGCTATGTGGCTGCGAGATAAGAATTTTTTTTTTGATATTAAGGTGACCTCTTGGTCATATACCTTTATTCAATTATAGTATAAATTTTACAGTATGATTTTCATGCTATATACATATTTGGAGAGTACAACTAGCCACATGTACAACTTTTGGTTGTCTATTTAAATAGTCTGCTTATTACTAAGTTTTACACTAGATATTATATCTATAATCTGACTAGGAGATTACTAGCTCTCAGACTCAGGTGCTGCTCTAGGGCTTGGTATTAATTTTTTTAATTTTAAGTTTTTAAAATTTAATAATTTATATATATTTTAAAAATATAGTTAATATATATTTTTTTAAAGTTTTTGATATTTTTTTTAATTTTAGTTCTCAGGCTCAGATATTGCTCTGAGGCTCAATATTAATTTTTTAGTTTTTAAGTTTATATTTTTAATATATAGTATTATATATTTGTTTTTAAGTTTTAAATAATAGTTTATTAATTTATTAACTCTCAAACTGGGCATTGCTCCAGGGTTTAGTTTTAATTTTTTTAGTTTTGAAATTTATTAATTTTAAATTTAAGCAATATTTTAGTAGAATAGTTTAACTTTTATATTTTTTTTAAAATTTAGTTATTAGTTTTCTAGATGATATTTTGGGTATAGTTTTAATTTTTACAATTTTAAATTTATATTAAAATAATAGTCATAAAGTTTAATTTGTAGTATTTGAAATATACTTTATATTAATAAAATAGTTTATTTATTAAAAGCATTTATTAAAAGCATTTATTAATATAAAAAAAATTAATTATAA